GGCTGGGGGGGTACACGAGAGAATGTGGCTTCCGTGCTTGGTGTGATGCATGCACAGGGAGTGGGTGGGCTATTGGCCCCCAAATCATACACCTCCTGATAGCATGCCCCTGCTAAAGCTCTGAGCCTTTCAAGTTCCTGGTGGTATCTGGTGGTCATCATATGCCTGCGCTTCGAGGATCTGGCCTTCGACAGTTGGCTAATCTTAGAGTGGGTGGTGCAAAGAGGACTGGGCTGGAATTCCTAGTCCTACAACTAAAGTGCTGTGTCACCTTGGGTAAGTCCCTCCCCCTCTCTGAGTTTGGTTTCCCCAACTCTAAGACAAGAGAGTTGGATTTGCCTTCAAAGGGCCTCTCTGGTGGCGACCTTCCAAGACTCGGTGCCAGGGGAGGGTGAGTTCTCACGGATCGCTCTGACTTCTTGGGAGGATAAATGCTCATTAAGTGCTTCAAAGCTGGCAGCTAACACTGAGTGCAAAGGGTCACTTACGACTCGCCCAGAAACCCTTATGCTGGCAAGAGGCCGATTTATTCCATGGCCTTGAACCCTAACCTTCCTCCGCTTCTTCCCTGTCAAAAATTCCATTGTAAGCTGCTTAAATGAAGAGGTGAGAGGTCCACTGCCTACCAGGGGGCTGCCCGGCCACGATCTCTGCCACAGGCACTGGAGGGCTGGGGGGACAGGGCAGGAGGGGCTGGGAAAGCCCTGGAGCCCTCATGTGGGTCCTGAGTCCAGGGGACTTGGACACCCCCCAGTCCAAATGGGAGAAGCACACACTGTCCTAAGAGCCTTACATCATCCTCACGGAAGCTGAACTTGAAGGATGCTTCCTATGTGCCAGGCATGAATGTGAGCACTTCTCATATATTAACTCACTTAGTTCTCAAAACAATCCTGTGAGCAGGTACTATTGTTATCCTCACTTTATAGCTGGGAAACCGAGGCCCCGAAAGGTTAAGAAACTTGCCCAAGGTCACACAGCTAGTAAATGGCACAGCAGTACACAGATCTAAGCTGTCTGGCCCGAGAGTCCATGCTCTTCAACCAGCTTGTTTAATATCCCCCAAGTCCTAGCGGCAGCCCCTTCTTCCAGGCAAGGAAGCTGGGCCTCTGGGTGCTGAGCCGCCGTGCTTTACGTCATCGCCAGCTGCCGCGATGTGGCTGGTGCCTCCACCCTCCCCTCCTCGAACACCTTCAGAGGCAGACTTGCCCTGTGACTTAACAGTGATGGGAGTGCTGCCACATCCACCCATCACCATCGGCCCAGGAGCAGGGGCCTCTGTCCCACTCCGCAGTCCGAGGTCACATGGCTGCTAAGTGACAACACAGAGGTTCCACTCACGCTCGCTTGGATCCAAAATCCACACTCTTTCCACCACCCAGCTGGACACCCTGTCCCATTGGCCACCTCTCAGGGGAATGGGAAAGAGGCAGGTATCTTTCTGGTCTGGGCCACAAGCAAGACGCAGGCTGGTCCTCTTCCCTCACGGCCGCTGGTCTTAAGTCTTCCGATGGGGCCTGCTGAGCTAGATGTTGGTAAAAAGGAAGCCATTTTGACACTGAATTGCTTAGGACACAAAAACTGTCTTGAGCGACACCTCACCCAGAGGTCATGCTCTCAAAGTGAGAACAGATTCAGGGAGGGGGGTCCATGGGCCGTCGGGAGGGGAATTCAATTTGGTGGAATGCCTCACAGGGAGACCAGCTCAGCATCCAACAGCCTCACTCTGGCTCCTGTAAACCCTGCCAAGCCGGGCACCAGCGTGAACTCGTTCCCCTTCCCTGTCTGCAGCCTGCCCGGTCCCGCTGGCCAGGGAGGAGGCCGCCAGGACCCATGTCCAAACTGACATGCAGCAGGATGCGGGAGGCACCCTCAGGGCCCTGTACGTTGACTCAGCCGGGCGGGCGGGCACTGCTGCCCCTGACCGTTCCCTGCAGGGCCCAGCTGACAGTGAGGTCACTGACGACAGCAGCAGCCAGAACAGGAAGGATGCCACCCAGCACCCCACACGACTCCAGAGAAAGACGTAGTGGTGTAACAAGTAGCCTAATTCAGGCCAGTTCGTCTCCTTCTATCTTTGGGAACAGTCTGGCTTCCAAGCCCCTCACAGTTCCACCCCAAACTGGAACTTCCTCCAGGCCCCTGGAACGCCCCCCAGCCCTCCTCCTCTGGGCGTGTTCCCATGAGCCTCTGCATCGTCAGACCCATTTGTGGTAACACTAATCACAGAGACCACCTATTAAGCAGGTTCGACGTGTCAGGCAGGCCCTGGGCTGCGGGTGGATGTTTTCATCAGCTCTACTTCACAAAAAAAACTCAGGCTCAGAGAAAAATGACTTGCCTAAGGTCACAAAACCAGGAAGTAGTGAAGTCTGAATTTGAACTCAGGTCCACCAGCTCCAGAGGCACAGAAACTGGAGCCAGTAAAGGACTGATCACGTCATCACTTGAGATCATCTTCTACTTGTCCCTCTCTCTGAGAGCACCTGACAGAACCCAGAGAGGCCCCGGGTAAGGGCTACCAGTGTACATCTTGGCCGAGCTGGGGGGATTTTGCCATGCCATTTACCCCTGTATTCCTAGCAGTCAGCACTGGGCACAGCACGAAGCAAGCATTTGTTGAGAAAGTCAGTCAGTCAGGCCCAGCTCTCCCTGCCCAGGGCCTGGATCCACACAGAGCCTCCCTTCCCAGGCGCCAGCTGCCCACTGTGGCTCGTCAGCTGGCTGCAGAAGGCAGGCTCCGCTCACTGCCAGGACTGCTGCAGGTACCATATGATGGGGTGCCCAGGACCCTGCCAAGGCTGCTCCCGGGTGACAGACAAACAAAGGGACCCCAGAACCCCCCAGGGGCTCGCCTGAGCAACTTCCAACCACAGTTATTACAACAGAAAGCATAAAACATTCATATATCCTTGGCCCTCTGCATGTTCATATATGTTCTCATAGCAGCCCCAGGGTGCAGGATGAATGAACAGGGGCCCAGAGATGTCAAGTGACTTGGGCTTGGCCACACAGAGTGTTCAGGGCAGAGTGAGGACTTGCACCCAGGTCTTTCGACGCAAGGTCTCAGTTTCCTTCCACCATCCATTCCAGGCTGCCCACTCTCCGTTGAGGCTCGGTGACTGGAATGGGCTGGACAGCTGAGATCTAAATCGCGGGTCCTGAGGAATTTTACAGAAGGAGCTTGGTTTCGCCCAGTCCCTGCAGCAATGCTCCCCAGCGTGCTCCCTCTCGGCCGGTGGACGGTCTGAGCAATGGCTACGCAAGCTGTGCAGTTTCTGTGCAGCGCCCCCCAAACGCCACCAGTTCCCTGAATATTTGCACCTATTTAGAGGGAAGGAGACAGGGAGCTTCCTGGATCACATTTCTGATTTATACCAGTAGCCAAAGCTCTAACAGCTCTGATGAGACCCACACCAGCCACCCTTCCCGGGGCAGGTGTAGGGCGTGGAGGCAGGTAAGGCAGCCGGGCCCCAAAACCGGAATCCACACATTTCAGACCTGAGGTTAAAGAAACTTTAACTTAAATCTGCTTTCCTGCTTCCTGACTCAGGAGCCCTCTCTAGGAATCTATCCTAAGACTATATTTTATGCACAAAGAGGATAAGTGCTGCATTATTTTTAACAGCAAAAAATTGGAAGCGACCTTTGTCCAACCTCAGCAGATGGTTAAATGAATTATGGCACATCCATGCAATAATGACAACCATTAAAAACACTCTTTACGAAAAAATTTAAAAGAGTTAGGGAAACATTTATGATGTAACATTAAACCAAAAAAAAAAAAAAAGGACATAATATTGTACATAAAGGGGAAAAAAGCACACAGAAGACAAGACTGGAAGGAAATGAGCCAAGATGTCAATAGAGGCTGCATGCCTGTGGCAGGACGAGTTATTTTTCTAGCTGCTTTACATTTTTTTGATACTTTCTCTTTTTTCCCTACATTCTTATGATAATCAGAAAAAAAAAGAGCTACCTAAATTCACATACACACACACTACCTGTCCCCCCTCAAGGGGAGTGAGTTGTCTGAACAACCAGGAAGGTTGTGATGCTGACTGGTAAGAGGGAGAAAAGTAGGTCCTATCTCCCATTTCCCACAACACAAATAATTCTGACAGGGCCATACATGTCGGGGCCAGCCCTTGTAAATCTGCTTTTGAGATTTTCCTGGAAATTTCCATCGGACTTGCTCTTTGATTCTTGACTTCAGGAGCCTGTGTCTCTAAGCGGTGAGGAATACAGATGAGGAATTTCCATCTCCAGCCCCAGACAGCTCCTGTCTCTTAGGGAAGAAGGAAGCCAGGCTGCCCCCAGCATCTTTTCACGTGCAGAGAGGGGGCTGGCGACATGGATGGGTGTTCAGTTGAAATTCAAGGCTGTGCCCACAATAAGGCACCTTGGGGTCTCTCCAGCTGAGACGCTCTCAAGGCTCTGGGCCAGGAGAACCTCGGGCTGGAAAGGGCAGAGACGTCAGCAGGCGAGGCTGCAGCTCAAACAGAAGCTGCTGACACAGGTAGCACCCGGGCTGCTCCTGACGGGTGACGGGTGACTCTGTGTGTCCACCAAGTCAGCGTGCGAGAGACACACCCCCAAGACCTGAAAGGCAGTGCACCGGCCCCCTCATTGGAAAACTGCTCCGCTTCCCCATGAAAACACCCGAGATCATTTAACAGCTACACCTGGAGGACCGCATTGAAACTCGGTCCTCTGTGTCCCTCAGAACTCCAAACCTCCGTGGAAACCAATCTCCGCCCCTCACCATCCTCACTCACGTTTCCAACTTTATTTGCTCTAAAAAATAAATCATGGGCGCCTACAAAGAAGTGTGTGAGAGAGAAGCGTATGGGTTTCCCCCCAAATCTAGAAGGCTCAGGGGCCTGGACAGCCCAGAAGGAACTCAGACTTGGGAGCCCCCAGGTCTGGGGAAATAGGGGCACAGATGAAATTTCCGCTCGGCCACCAGGGGGACAGCCGGCCTCCCCGACGCCACTCACCGAACATGCTGCCCTCGTAGCCGTCTTTCGTGAGGGGCCGGAGCTCGTTTTTCCCCATTGCGTACCGCCGGTAGCTCTGCCAGGCGAACTGCATCATCTGCAGAGAAAGCAGGACAGGGACGTGAGCGTGGCCCTTCCTGACCACGTGGACCGGCCCCCGGCTTTGCCCTCGGCAACAGGCTCACACGTGTAACAAGCAATCTTCCAAATTGAGACGACAACTTCCTCTCACCATAATTTTATTCCTAGTGACAGCTGCCCGGAAAGCCATTCTCCTCAGACAACCTCACACGCCCAGAGACTAACCATAGATTCCCTAGAGAAGACACAAAAAGCACTAGAAACGTTCTAACCATCCTTCAGTGCCAAGTGACAAGCCACCTCTTCCAGGGAGCCTTCTCTGTTTTGCTCTGGCCCAGAGTGGTCCTCTGAAGGGAAGGGACAACTCACTGGGTGATGCCTGCCATATCCAACAAGACAACCCCCGACTCAGGGACTCTTAACTCCACGTGTAGACAAGGAGACAGGTCAGACACGAGGCAACTCGCCCAAGGTTACCCAGTGAGTCAGCGAGAGTGCTGGGAACTGAACCCATGCCCTCTGGCTCTGCAGCCTTAGGTCTGTCCCCAAAGCCTTGGTGCTGTCCCCACAAGTCACAGCATGAGTCTCTGAACTCCTCCAACACTTGCCTTGACCTACCCCGGCCATCCCAGGCTCCCTGGCACCCCAGTTGGTCACCGTTATTTTTTGTTTCCCTGGCTCTGGATCATAAGCTCCTTGAAGCTAGAAACTAGGCTTGCCTTGCCTCAGTTTCCCCCACAGCACCCAGCACAGGGTTTCGCATATCTAGGCAGCAAGGAGTAACGCAGTGCACGCACAAGTTCTTCCCAGATTAAGGCAATGACGTCAGCTCCTTGGGAGCATCACACAAACACTGCAGTCCCCTAGCTGCACTTGGCACTGGTGGCTAGAGGAATGCAAGGTGACAACCCACCCCAAGCCCTGCTCCCTTGTCCCCCAGTCTCCCTTTTGCCTCTATCATGCTCCTTTTTTGCCTTCACGTGGCAGGCTGCAGAAGGAGGACCACAGAGCTCTGGGGTGGCCACAGGGCAGACGAGGGAAGAGGAGAGAGCCAGGGACAGGCAGTGGAGGAACAGCTGAGGGACAGGTAGGTAGAGAGGCAACCTGTTGTGGTAGAAAGAACTCAGGCTTCGGGGCCAGAGAAGCCTGGGTTCTAATCCTACCTCTGCCTCCATTTCTCTGACTTTAAGTGACTAAACATCTCTGAGGCTCAGTTGCCTCATCTTTGAAATGGAAATAACAAGGACTGCTTTGCCACAATCTTGAAAGGTTTAAATAAAAGAAAGTAGCTGGAAATGCCCAGCTTCCGACCTGACACATTTGTAAGTGATTAACAAACGTGAGTTCTCCTCCCTCCTCAGCGGTTGAAATACTCTCCTGGTTCTCCAAGCCTCATCCACCCACCCCTCCTTCCACCCATCCTATTAGTTCTCAAACGTTAGCTAAATCAGGATCACTTGGAGGCTTGTTAAAACAGACTGTTGGGCCCCCTCCCTGGGTTTCTGACTCAGCAGGTCTGGGGTGGGGCCCAAGAATTTGCTTTTCTAACAAGTTCCCACGTGATGCTGCTGGTCCATGGGACACATGTGAGAATCACTGATCTATTACACGTGTTTATTTCTACTCCTCGCCTCACCTCTAGACATTGTCTGGCATCCTTTTGCTTTTCTCCTTCTAACTTCTGGCCTACTTCCTGCCTCAGCTCCCCACTTTCTGGACATCTCCACCTGCATTCTCCATGCTCTTCCACTCCTGCTGCTCAGAAAGCATCTCCTGCAGGCACATCTGGACAGGAATTACCACCACTCTTGCTGCTGCAGCCCAAATGCACTGGCCAGGAGAACAGACCTGACTGTCTATGGCCTGGGCTCTCCGTGAAAGGGCAGAATAATCTAGTACCACGTCTCCATTTCATAGATGACGAAACTGAGACTCAGAGATGGTAAGCGGTCAGGACAGCACAGCCAGCAGCGTTGGAATCCAGCTCTTTCAACTCCCGGGCCAGCAGACCCCACCTCCACGCTTGGCCTGGCCTGTGGCTTCCCGTGTGACACACATGCAAATGTCATGGTAACGCATGCCAAGCACTTGGCACGGGCTCGGAGTCCTGGGTCCCTTCCTCTGCTATTTTCCACTTATCTTAAATTGGCAATAACAGACACTAACTGCCGGGTACGAGTGCTTAAGGGAGACTGTCCTCCTCCCTCAGTCTCTCTTATCTGGGGGGCTCCCTCAACTAAGTCAGCACAAGGAGGGGGGGGACGTGGCAGGTGGAAGAGCAGCAGGAGGAAGTTAAAACATAAATGACAGCAGGAAAGAAGGAGCAGAGGTCTGGAGCGGGGCCTGCACCCCACCCTCAAAACCCCTCCTGCTTAAAAGACAGAGAGAGAGAGAAGTGGGTGTGCAGAGTAATTAAGAGAACCACAGGTATCTGCGTGTTCTCAAAGGAGCTGTCACTGCAGGGCCGTGGGGATGTTTGGAAGGCGGCCTGTTCTCACAGTCACTCATGTCAACGGAGGGGAAGGCAGGCACAAATAATCCCCGTGTCACTTGGGACTGGGTTCAGAGGGCAGTCAGAGCTGCTTTCACTCACACACACGTGCGCGTGCACAAGTACACACAGATCCCAAACGCACGTGCGTCTCTCATCTCGGGTCATGAGTAGCTCAGCCCAGGTGCTGGATGAGCAGGGGATGGGGAAAGACCCCCAGCCCGGCAGTCATTATTTCTCTTCCTGACGCACCCTATGCAAGCGCCCGCCAGGTGCCCCATCCTGTGCTCGCACAGCTGGGCTGCAGCCACGGTGGGAGTGCTTCCCCAGCCCCCACCCTCTACGCCCCTGCCAACTGCTTTTCTTCCTTCAGATCCCAGCTGAAATGGCACTTTCGCAGGGAGACCTCCTCCCCAGCCAACCCGAAGCCAGGCCTCCACTTCCATCCCGCGTTCCTGATGCCAGGCCCCAGAGCAGCCTGCAGTCAACCTTCTACACTTGCGATTACTTGGTCAGTCCCCCGACTCCATATCCACTACTGCATGCCCAGCACCTCAGCCAGGGACTGGCACATAACCAGTGCTCATTGAATATTTGTTGAATGAATACAAGAACAAACAAGGAAATTGGCTCTGGAGCTTAACGCATGGCTGGGAGACTCATCGTGGACCACACACGTCACAGGTGAGACAGGTAACGGGTTAGGGCTTCTGAGCAACAGAGGTGCTCCGAAGAGGGCAAGCATGCGTCTCAAGGGATGCTTCAGGGGTACCCAGGTGTCCTGATGGACAGGCGGGACTGTGAGGGGCACAAGAAGAGGATGACTCCCAGAATGGCTAATCTCACTCTACAACTGGTGACACGTGCCTTGGGAGAGCCCTGGACTTGGCTTTAGAGATGGACAGTCCCTGGCTTCAAGCTTAGGCAGGTCTAAGACATCAAAGATCACGCAGGCCGCTTCCAGCCCCATGTGAGTTCCTTAAAAGGATGAAGTAATCTGTCTTTGAACACTCCCCATGATGGGGTGCTCTCCACCTTACCAGGCAGCCCATCCAATTATGCAGTTTCACAAAGTTCCTCCTTAATCAATTCAAATCTGTTCTCCCCTATGGGCCGTGGGGAAGACAGCTCATACTGCTTCACACCACAGGCCCTTAGCCCGGAGAAGCCAACTCTCAAGTCACCCTAGGCCACCTGTTGGCCAGCTGAAGAGCCGGCTCCTTCAACAGTTCTCCTCTGGCAGAGCTCTGAGTCCCCAGAAACTGCAGACCCACACGTCACAACGTTTTTCCACGGTGCCCCAAGACTTTGCCACTCATTTGTCATGGCCGGCTATACTTTTGGTAATAAGCAGAAATCGGAATGCAGACGCTCCCTGGTCACATCAGGACCAGATCCTACGGGTGTGCACCTGCCATTTGTCCCTAATAATTTCACCTCGTTGGACTCTGCCTACCATTCTGTGCCATCGGGATCTTTCTGGAGCCAGATCTTATCACTCAGCGTGTGTGTCTCTGCCTGCTTTGGGTAATGTGCAAACTTGATGGGACTGCCATCTGTGTCCGCCCCCAAGTTCTGGACAGAAACAGGAAATGGCTGGGCCGAGGACAGAGTCAGAGAAAGAGCAGGAGGGGCCTCTCTTCTGGATCCAGCACTGCTCTTTGAGTGACATCTGTCAGTAAGTGAGGGACCCACCAGACGGTCAGCACGACCTCCGCGTCTCCCTTTTTGTACACGAAGATGTTGTGAAGGGCAGAGCTGAAACACAGAAACACTCTGCCCCAGGACAGCTAGCACAGAAAAAAATCATTGCGTTTTTTTTTTTTTTTTTAAAGAAAAAACCAGGGGTTAGACCAGCATGATTTGTTCTTAGAGAACCCATTTTGACTCCTACAGATCATCATTTTTTGTTCTAAATGTTTGCAAGTCACTAACTTAAAAACCTATTAGTCCTGCTAAGATGGCTATAATCAAAAAGATAGATGATCACAAGTGCTGGCCAGAGTGTGGAGAAACTGGAACTCTCACAAATTGCTGGTGCGAATGAAAATGGTGTAGCTGCCGTGGAAAACGGTTTGGCGTAAAAAGTTAAATACGGAGTTACTACGTAACCCAGCAGTTCCACTCCTCAGTATAGACCCGTGCAGAAAGGAGTTACTGTGGCAGGCCTGAGACGTCTGTCCTTAGAAGGCCTGAGAGCAAGGCTGGCCCTTGGCTGGTGTCTGGGAACGTGGATTTAGCGAGTTCTCGTCACTCTCTGACTGGTTAGAGTGGTTAACTGTACCCAGACCGTTTGTACAAACAACGTGGCTTATGCCAAACACCTGCTTTCCCCATGGGAGTCTGGAATTTTGGCACGTGCTGGGCAGAGGGGGCCCCCGGTGAAAACCTTGCACACTCAGTCTCTAATGAGCTTCCCTGTAGACAGCACCTCACGCGTGTTGTCACAGTTCAGTGCTGGAGGAATACAGCGTGTCCTGGGTGATCCCCTGGGAGAGGACCCTCGGGAGTTTGCTCCTGCTCTC